ATTGCTTCCTTCTTTTTTTTACATTGCGGTTGTCCATTTTGACCATTTTAAAGCATTAAATCATGGGCATTACAAGCAGCGCTCTCCCAAATAATAGAAATTATGTTCGCCAGCTGCTGTCTTAATATTATGAAGACTGGCGATATTGGGATGGTAATTTCAGGGGATCCAACCAGTCAGTCTTTTGAAGTCACAAAATAATGAATAAATGACAATCAGATCGATAACACACATCTTTTATTGAACAAAAAAAAAAATAAATCTAACATAACAAATGCTGAAAGTAAGCCACTAATGTCAATCAGGTTCAAGCCAAGCTGTCACCCACTGTCACAGCATTTGCAGAGAAATCAGCGGTTGGCAGTCATAAAATTAAACATCTTATTTGGTATACAATTAATTAGTTTCATAAATAGAATCATATCCTTCTTCATTACTTAGGCATATCAAAATGAACTATTTATATGAACTGCGAAAGACAGACTTATTTTTAATAGTGCCATCAAATCAGTAAAAAACTATTTATTCACAATAAAATGTTAAATGCCTTTAAATTAAATATCACAGAAAGAAAAATGACTTCATCAAGGAAAACCAAAAAACTCAGTGTCTGCTATTATTTCAGGGTGACTTCCACAAGTTTTTGCCAATGAATTAATTAAACTACGATGCAAATTTCTCTCTTTCACATTTGCCATTTTAAATCAGAAGCTTCATGCTCCACTCACCACAATTATTCTGCTATAACTATTGGGCACTCTTAAAACTTGTCTCAATGAACCAAGCAAAAATTTCACTGTTTCATTCCTTCAGGAAGAGGTGAACGTCCAAATCAAAATTATCTTCCACTGGGTTGCAAAGCCAGATTTCGTTTGAATGCCGACACAACCAACGGTTGTCTTCGAATTTCATCTTTCCACGAAGAGCACACTAATCATGCAAGCACTGAGGAGGATTATTTGCGTATTATAAACAAGAAGAGACGAAATCTAACTGGTCAGTTAATAGATTCCCAACTATCTATCCTTCACTTTATTTTCAGTTATAGAAATGATTATTAATTATAGAAATTTCAGGTGGTATTGCATCGAAGAAAATGAAGGAAAAAAAAATGAGAGAAACAGGTAACTTCTATTACTCTTCTCTGTTATATGTCGACAAACAATACGGTAATAGGAGGAACAAAGCTATTTTAGGAGAAACAAAGCCGAAAAGCAAATCACCACAGCTAACTGAGCGTGCAAATGTTTCCGATGTTGCGGAAGATAATTCTGCATCCGTTATTTCACCCGCAGAAAATCCCACTTCCACCAATTTATTAGAAAGAAACTATGGCGCCATTATTTCATCCCAAGAAGACTCTGCTTTTGTTCCGGTTACTCGTTCCGCAGAAGTAAGCAACAACTTTATATCAAAAAAAGTTTATGAAAGATAGAAGAACATAAGAGTAGAATTGACATTTTCAGATGACAGAACACGTTGATGGAATACAACAAATGTCATTGCAGAATTTGCTTCCAACAGATTCCGTCCGGAAGCAAATATTCACAAATCGGTTAATAGATCGACTGCAGCGTATAGAGTATTTGATTATGAACGGTTCGTCTTCCAAACCATTAGCATACATCTTTTGTGATATATTTTAGTTGAGTTTACTGGTTTGGAAGATTTGGCAGTATTGAATTTTGGTAAGAGTCAATTGATTCACTTTTGGAGAGTTTTCCTGGTCTCGGAAGGATTCGTTGAATGTAGATGTTGATAGTATAAAATATTACAGGAATATATTAATTCGTTCATTAACAAAGACAACAGTATAATAAATTTTATAAAAAATCGAAGTATGAGTAATAGAAATTCTCATAAGCTGAACTTCATGATGTGTTTGCATATATATAATATTAAGATATGTGAGTGGTCTTTGTTACTTCAAAGCTCGTCACAGTGATAATATTTATTTTAAACAAAAAGGAAAGAGATAATTTAAAGTATGAACACCGGATTGAAAACAAAGGATTTAAGGAATAAACATTTGCACATAATTCCACTTATACACATATGTATATAATATTTTAGAGTTTCGCGACAATACTTGAGCTAATTGAAGTCATGTCATTAGCCTGTGCTGGCAGGCAATCTTCAAGCAATGCAAAAAGATTTATGATTAGAGTAGCATATTTTTTTGAGTACCCCATGTTTTGTTAAAGAATCTGATCTACTAATTTTCATTAGGTAATAAATTCTTTGAACTATTTTTAATAAGAATCCGATTTAGCTTACATCATCAAATGTGGAGGATGTCTACCGCAGGAAGTATACTTACCGTTCATCTGTGGAGTATATGGCGCTGATTTTTATCTCTCGGAATGGTCGAATGTGCAACTAAGAGACGTTATGATAGTGCTTCTGCAGCCACCAGAAATACTGCTTCAAGGCAATTTACCCACCGATATTTCAATTGATGAAGTGAAACAGGTTCGACCACCTGGTATTCATCGTGCGATCACAGCTATTAGAGAGGAAAAACTAAAGGTATGGGTAAAAATTAATATTTAACCCAATTTGTGATAGTACGAATCTATCGTCGTGTTCTGAGCATTGGTAACATGTTTCCCACCTTCTTCATCTTTCATATATTCACACATTTATTTAGCAATCCTTTGCAGAGATGCGACAGTATTTTTGCTCGATTTGTCCAGCATATTTTCAATGCCATCTCTCGACCTGAATTTGTAGTGGCTGTTCGTGAATTCAAAAAATTTGCTGATGACGTAAGAAATATGAATGTTGACAGTATCAAGTCACATGACATCAATATGTTGCGATGCTGAGGTAGAACGAATACCGTATCACTGATACTGCTTATCCAGATGAGCCAATTCCTACCCTTTATATCCTTATATACTTATACTACTTTTGCAGGAGATGAAAATTATGGTTGTTGCCATATCATTTGTACAAAATTTTGAGTGGATTTTTCTTACTTCCAAATGGATCTCTGATATTTTTTTGTTTCATTTCATCTCACAGTCATTGCTTTGTCTCAGCTTTTGCTTCAACATTTGATTTGCAATGATATAAGTTCTTTTGGTAGCTAAAAAGCTGTGCTTAGTTTCAATCTGTTTTCACTTTGATTAAAATGTTAGTTTTTTTGTCTGCCTTGTTTTATATCTGAAATTTTTGCGTGCTATGAGAATAAATATTTTTATTAAGGTTGAAAATTGAATATTTGCGCATTGACAGTATCAAGTCACATGACATCAATATGTTGCGATGCTGAGGTAGAACGTTATGAATCATTGCAGTTGTTTATGGAATCATTCATCAACATATAAACATAAACAAATAGGTTAATTAAAATTTATTCATCTAATTCGAAATTTGACTGTAACTGAGTTAGAGCTAAAGAGAGAAATGAATAAGTGAATTGAACTTATAGAATGTTCCAATGAATCGATGAATTGGATGTAAATTTTGGAATTTTGAAATTTATTCATTGTTCATTTCTTTCACCGTGCTGTCATATCCTTTACATACTGTCCAAATACACTTTACCCCTAATGCTCGAATCTCGAAAGCTACATATGGGAAAACTTATTTTTCATGTAATAATGATACCATTATTTCATTCTGTTATTTTGAAATTTTATTTTGTTTTGGGAGAACATTAGTCTGGTATAGTCGAATATTTGTTGAAGTTGATTTCTTTGTCGAGAAGTGTTACAGTGAGTAGTGGTATCGCTAATGTAGTCAAGACAGGAATATAGATTAACACCAAAATACTTGAGAATAAGTGGGAATAACACCAAAATACTCGGAAATAAATTTATCCGGCAAATAAGGCAAGACAAAAATTGTTGAAGTCGGGATGATGAGAAAAGAGCTATAAGAATGTAAAACTAGCTGAATTCAAGTTTATTATCTTGACAGTTTAAACGAACAAAGAATTTTCTAACCTCATTAAACAATGTATTCTTTGTTTGTCTATCAGATTGAAATAAGAAATAATTATCAACATATTAGCATTGCACTTATTCATCGCTAGCAAACTGTAACGTTCTAGGCACTTCAAATAAATTCAACTACAATTAGAAGATGAGTTTTGGATAGTTTTAAATTTCTTACTTGAAATAAAACTGAAATGATATTATATTTAATGAATATTCAAATAAAACATTCTTTAATCTTGTGGATCTAATATAAACTTATTTGACATAATATAATTTGGTTTTCTATCATTATTTCTTTTCTTTGTTTTTTATTTAAATTCAAAATCTCTTCTATTAAGAGATCAATTCCGCAAAGAAATTCGAGTAGTTTCAATTGAACGATATTTGATATCCATTTTATGTTTCAATATTAGTAAGAAAGAGTAAAATGCATGAAAATTGTAATTGTTCTATGTAAACAAAATTAATTCCATAGCGAAGATTTTAAACACAAAGCGATAACTGAAATTTTACAACAAATTAATGTGTTATTGATAAAACAATTAGTGAAGGATAAAGGTTTCGATTTTATTAAGAGGAAAATGATGAGTTAATGTTGTAAGAGCTAACATAATAGTGGAATATTTGTAGTGAAATAAATTTGCATATTTCCACTCGGTTTAGTTCATCGGGGCATACTTGCATTGCACTGAAATTGTATGCAAATTTTTACATTTCTCGTTCATTGTTAGTTGATTCTTCCTCGTTGATTGGTTGGTTCGCATTAGAGACTATTTTCTGGTGGGATGAACTGCTAAAGCTGACTGAAGCTAAATTGTGCGAATTGACTACATTTCTTTAAGTTTTCTGTTAGAAAAAGATCTTGGATGGGAGGATAACTTCAAAGACTTTTAATTGCTAATCATTAGAGATCTTTTAGAAGATTTAATTGAAACGAACTAAATTATATGAAATATGACTTTTGTGTTTTAATCTACAAAGATAATGTAACTAACTGTATTTGCGTAGAATAATGTTTGTTCCGAGTAACTGATAATGTTTTCATGAAGGAATATGTATACAGAGCTAAAGGAACTGATCAATTTTCTGGCTATTTATATGCATCATCGAATTCCTCGGCGTCGGGTAGCGTTGTATTTTCTATCTTTTTCCTTTTGATTTATTGATTAGCAGCGAGTCAACAAATAACTTTTAATGGTGTTTTTTTCTTTTTTGGTGGGAGAATTTTAGTGGTTTATTAACACTTTGATAATTTGTATCATTTCAGATTTGTTTGCTCATGGAAAGTTACAGTAATCATCTTGCGGGAAGATTTTTGGGGAAATGGAAGCCAGAAGAGCCAGAATATGGTTAGCCAAATAGTTATAATAATAATTACAAAGTATTTATGTGTGTGTGTGAAAGGAGCATTGATATTCGTAAGTATTTTGATTTTCGATTACTTGCAAAAGGAAAATTGTTACATTTGAAATTATTTTAAGTCAAGGAGTATAATTTGAAAGTTAAAGTTTAATTTGAACATTTAGTATTTGCAGGAGAAAAAGAGCGAACGTTGATGATTAAAGCAGGAGATTGCCTAGACCAAATTCTCAGCACAATTGCAACAAGCATTGGGATTGTTGAAGAAGATCTTGCAGCGTGTTTTCCATGTTTGTTTCGCTTAATTCAGTCTATTATTTTTTTTTTTAAATTTTGTTTGTATTTTATCATATTTCTCTATAAAATTTAAAACTATAAGAGATGCTATTTGTTGAAGCACTAATGATAGCTTACTGCAACCCTGGCATAGTATCGTGCCAAGTGATGAACTATGCACATATGATCACTGTTTGGATGGGAGATGTTAACGCTGATGTAAATTTTACGCCTATACCAGATGGTATTGCGTTCTTCTGCGAAACCCCGGCTATACTGTACAATGTTTTGAATAGCAATGGCAACGTTATGGATAAAACAAGTAAGTTTTCAATTACAACAGGATTCTGTTGATCATGTACGGTTGATTCCGCAATTTACTCTTCTGAATTCTCTTTTGGAAATTTCACGATAACTGATCATCATTGGTGAAGTTTTTAAGGAAAGAGGATTTAAAAAAAATATAGATTTAAAAAAAAATAAAGATAAATATCACAATGTCATCAAAAAATTATCCGCAGCATATTGATGACAGTACCGCGCATTTTCTGATTCCTACGCATCCTTCTGTGTTACTCCGAACCTATGCTGGGATTGTGTATCTCTTCTTGCACTCCTACAATGAATATTTCAGATGTAGTAACTACATCGTGTTAAAAGAACTGAACAGTTTGCTATAGGAACAACCAATGAAATGCTTAATAATATATCCTTTGCGCATCGCACAAAAGGATTTTATTTTGCTATACCACGGACACGAATGTTTCGCAACGCATTTTTGCGCACATCTCATTTCCGGTTGACAGGTATTTAAATTTTTGCTAAATTTGTGTAACTAACGCAGAGCTTTCGTGCAGTACTTCTTGTGAGTGTACAGATTATTCTTACAGGTGAAAACTTTGCCACAATTTCCGCACTGAATTTCAGGTCCATGTCTTTTCTGATGACCGTAGAATGTTGATGGGTGATTGAATGTTAACCCACAACCGGGCATTCTGCATTCATAAATAAAAGGTTTAGGATGAGTTTTCTTGTGAGCTATGTATTCATTGTAATTCCTCGTTTCCATAGTACATCCGACATGGGGACACTCATAATTTCCCTTATCTGAAAAATTCTCTTATAACATTTCTTCTTATAATTCAATCATATCAATTTGTAATTAATTAACGCAATTTGAAAAATAGTGTTATTTACTTGTTTTTTCATGTATTTAAACAAAAAAAAAAAAAATGTAATTATAGATTTTCTGCAATGAGATCATCATTTCTTGATTTTTTAATGTTTATATCCACAATTTCACGTAAAAGCAAAAACGCTTCATATGAAAATAATCTCTGAATTAATTGCATTCCTTGAACAGCAGGTATTGCTTATCTTTTTTTTATGTTGAATATAAACGAAAAGGATGTATCTCTTTGTTGAGTTGGATAAATATCGCCCATTGAATTTTGCATCGCTATACAGTGGATGTTTTTCAACATTTTCATGTGGATTTCACTTCAGGTAGAAAAACCTATTTAAGATTCTGCTAAATTTGTGAAACTAACATGGAGCTTTCGTGCAGCACTGCCTGTGAGGGCTCAGATTCTTCCTATAGTTGAAAATTTTGCCACAGTTTCCGCAATGAGATCTAGGCCCGTGTATTTCCTGGTGATTGACGAATGTTGATGGATTACTGAATGTTCGCCCACAACCGGGCACTCTGCATTCATAAATAAAAGGTTTGGGATGCGTTCTCCTGTGAGCTATGTATTCACTATGATGATCCGTTTTCATAGTACATCCAACATGGGGACACTCATAATTTTTCTTATCTGAAAAATTATCTTATAACACTTATTTTTCCATTTTTGTCATACCAGTTTATAGTAAATCTATCGGATTATTCATACAGCAGCAGTTGCTACTAACTGGTTGTCGTTTTTTATACTGGACAGACTAGGTTTTTGCTGCTGATACTGGATAAATATCGAAGTACCTATTTATTCTTGTAATGCTATACAACGGATATTTCTCAGCTGTGTATTCCACTTCAGATAAACAAGTGTTTAAAATTTCGTTAAATTTATGAAACTAACGTGAAACTTTCGCGCAACTCTTCCTGTGAGTGTACAAATTATTCATATAAGTAAAGAATTTGCCACAGTCTCTGCACTGAGGTTTAGGTCGGTGTGTTTGCATGTGTGTGCACAATGATGCTGCATTATCGAATGTTCGTCCACAACCGAACACTTTGCATTCATAAATAAAAGGTTTGGGATGCGTTTTCTTGTGAGCTACGTATTCATTGCGACTTTTTGTTTTCATTGTACATCCGACATGGGGACACTCATAATTTTTCTTATCTGAAAAATTTTTTTATAACATTTATTTTTGCAAATAATGCATTCCACTATATTATCTGGTAATTGATTAATGTAATTTGATTGCGAGCATATATTACAAGCAAAACTTAGTGTTACCTGTAATGGTGAGATTTTGCAGAACAAATAATTCTAAGTTTTTCGCAGTAACGAGATTTCATTTCTGGTTACTCATTGTTTGTATCTTCAATTTTGCGGAAATGAGTATTACCTATGGACTGCAAAGGGTCGGGCGAAATGCTATGCATATTCTCGCCATCTGTTCTCGATAATTCTTGCAACTGGTAATTTTCTGTTGTGATTGGAACGGTTTCGATTTTCGATTCTTCGTTGCTTTTATGTTCACTTTTCCATAAATCAGTAAAATCGAAGTGCGAAAAATCAAATGAAATGCTATTCTCCAATTTCCCAGCAGGTGTTCCTGATAACTCTCTACCAGTATTTTCTGGTTCCCTTTTATGAGCATCAATGCTTGAACCTAGGATCGACTCCAAATTGCTATTATCAAGGATGTTGAAACTAGTTGAGAAGTACCCATTGCTACAGTCATCCCATGTAATGTCATCGATGTCGAGATTTAGTAGAGAGATAGTTCCATTCTCAGCTAAAACAATACAAAGCAGAAAGCTGAACCAAATAAGTTGTATCATTGAAATGAAGAGCAAGGTGAAATAATGAATTTTTGAAATGACAGAAATATTCGAATGGAAGAAAGCTTTTATTTCACATTGGTTGGAATTAAAAGACCAAAGGTTCAAACAGTTTTTAATCCGTCTCATTTGCCTAATTCCTCATACTTTTTCTTTTTCATTTTAGTCTTTCTATTATTAAATTGACAGCTGATGAATACGCTTTTGGACTCCATATGATGTTTAGCATTGGTCGGATATTCCATAGCCTTCCATTTGTTTTGTTTTTAATCTTCTTTTTGTTAAGTAATAAACTTTCAATTTACATTTAACTGGCATACTATACAGGAAGCTAAATGGCTATCAATTGATTCTTCCGTTAAGGCAGCAGTGAAATAATGGTGTAAAGATGATGCTTGATCAAAGATGAAAATTGCATTGGGTGACAATACATTACTTATTGAGGGAGTCTATTGCAGAACCGTAGAGTGTGATGTCGTTATAGTTCGAGGTGTCCAAATATAAATTATATATATATATATTCTATGTATACATTATGAGATATTCAATATATTCACTTTATTAATAAGTCGAGTGATAACTAATCACGGAAGGTCATTCGATTTTCACTTTTCGGTTTCAAATTGATAGGTCGCAAGATCCCACGAATATTTGAAATCAATTTTAACTCATTTAAATTGAATAAACGAGAAATTAGCTTTCACTCTTTGTAAATTTGCTTTGTACTAAAGCAATTTTTTGGCAATAAAAATCCAGCTCAATTTGCAATTATGCTCAAGTTATTTCAAAAAGTTTTGCTCACTACCTATGTTTTCAACAGTAATCATATGCACGGCTTCGCTAAAGCAAACAAATTGATAATGTATCAAATCAAAATTAATTTAAGTGCGTCACTTCTAATTGACTTTACAAACTTTCGGAAGTTTTTGTATTGTTACTTTTGAATATGCGAAATCGATTTATGGATAATTTTTGACAATCTCATGGTTCATCACTCCATTCATAACTCACATTGTATTGTGAGTTAGCTGAATGCTTACAATTCTTACATCAAATATCAGCAAAAATGATTCCACAATAGTGCCAAATTAGTTATTTGACATTTTTAAAAGAGAGCAAATTAAGGATTAATGTACATATCTCAGGTTCCCCAAACTAATTGCAGTTGTTTTGCGTAGCACATGTAGGTGTAGAAAAGTTTTTTCCGCAAGGAAAATCTGAGAAACTTCGGGTTAAGGATATCTGGAAATTTTGCATTGCATCTATCTAGAAAACATTAACACTGAGATAGGAAATCTCCTGATTAATCAATTCTGAGGTGTAGTTTTTTTAAATCAATCAAAATCTCATCATACACTTTCTTAAAAGTTTTTGCAAAATGTCTGGGTCAAAAGATATTCTTTATATGATCACTTCGAAATATCACATCACTTTTTTACTTTAATTTGATGTCGGGAGAATGATTATTTCAATCATAATGAATCGCGGATATCATCCTTTCTTAGTCACTTAAACATATGATAAATATACTGATAAAGTAGCAAATTGTGAGAAATATTTTTATCAACATTATGAAATATACAAATCGGCAATACGTAACAATGAAACTAAACCATTTCTTTCAATCGATCACAATTGTTTTCACATTATTTCGCTTCTTTAAGGTTTTATCACTTGAACCATTCTGTCTAAGTAAGAAACCAAATTATTAAAATGAAAAATGAATAGCAAAAAATGATAATCTATATTATAATCTTCCTACACTTCTTTTTTTATGGTAATATTTCTACATTTCACTGCGTGTGTTAAAACTTTTACAACAGGCTAACTTCGACTTGCAATTAAAACAAAAGCAACAAAAAATGTGGATTTTTTATACATGAGACAAAATTTTTGTCAAACAAATAATTCCAATTATAAATAAAATTGAGAAGGAAATAAGAAGTAAGAACCTAAATAAGCAAAAATATTCATCTCTTAGGCCGCTAAAGAATTCCAAGCTCAATACTACCTAAATTCATTGAACTTAACATTTTTAAATAAGTACCAACCTGCTATTAACTCGTTTCTTCCGCCGTATAATATTTCCTGCTTTTTCTTTCCTAGCCATTAAATAACGATGTATTTCTTCCCAACGTCTGTGCCAGTAGCGTTTTTCTTCAATAAACACTTTTAAGTCGTCCTTGCTGCAATTTTCAGAATAGATAATGAACTCTTAATTTTATTTATAATGGTTAATTTTAATTCGAAAATTAAAATTTCGTAGTTTAAATGATGCAAACAATACATTTTGTTTTAACTTTCAAAAAATGGTTTTAAAGTAATCTTTCTAAGCTACTATCCAGGAATGCAATTACACATTTGCTTTTCTGTGAAGGTTCGGCAATATTAACACTCAAAAGAGAAAGGAACCAATAATAGTCTATACGGTATCAGTAATCAAAAATGAAAATAAGAAAGAAAAGTGTAAATTGTGGCGAAATATTGCATAATAAGTTCAATTAATCAATAGGCTTTTCGGAAAAAAGTAATTATTCCTTAGTATTAGGACAACGAAATTCCATGACATATCAATCGTCAACAATATTCATGAATACGCATAATGATGCAAAAATGTATGAATATATTTTATAATTAATTTAAAAAAATTGTAATTCCATACGTTTTTCCAAATTCTTCTATATCATCATGCTTCAGTTTCCAGCTTCGTTCATGTTCATCCACCATTACTCGATTTAATGTTTTTAGGATACCATCAAGATCAGAAGTTCTTAAGCCGAATGCCATTTGTAAATCCAACCTAAAGACATGACCTTTAATCTTAAAATCGAAGTTTCTGATTAAAATCATCATAATTCTGAGCATGTTGTATCAGGGACCGGAGAAAACATGAACTGTAGCTTGTTTAGCATATGTAAATATGTCAATTTTTCCAAATTAATCTAAGTTTACTTTCATAATTGGGATTTTGCTCGGTTCCTATAATGAAGGACTTTTATGAAAAACTTTAATTGAGGCTAAAAAAAAGAAAAGTTGAAAGAAAAAAAAAATCACCTTCTAACAGGTAGATCAGAACTAAATAGACACAGGACAAGATCACGGGCATGCTTAAGCACTGATGTTTCGTCAGGATAAAGCAATTCACTTTTCAGTACCCAAACATTGCACACCAAGTGTGCACAGTCACGGACACGCGATATCAGCAAGTGTCGAGGAATACATTTCGAAACATACTCTAGTGCTTCGTTCGTCGATATACACCGCACTAAATTTTTGTAGAAATGTAAAAAAGCCCACAAAGTAATTAGTTATTAGTATTAAAGATATTGAGATTTCTAACCTTTTATCATCAGGGCTCGAACTTGCTGGACCTCAGGCAAATGTCGTATACGTCGAAGTGATATTAGCTGATTGCAGTCATTCAAATCACTGAATTTCAAACCAATTTGTCGAAATATTTGAAAACGCTATAGCTTTAATACGAAAGGCCGAAAAAAATAGACTTACAGTGCGTTCATTTTCTCACCAATAATAGCTTCTTGAACAAGCTGCATAGGATCAGGAACTCTGCATGAATCAGGCATTGTAACCGGGATTGAAAGTAAGGATTCGCTATATTTTATTGATTCTGTATCCTGAATTAAATCAATCAGTAAGTTAAATATCTTACAATGGGAGATAAACAAATATCGACAAAATAATATGCGAAAAAAAAATTACACTTCAAGTAATACCAGAAGTCAAGAATTCACTGAATAGTTGTTTCCTAGGAAAGCACAGAAAAACAGATCGAGTATCAATTCATGGCGACAATATCCAAAATACAAATTTTGTTATATACCCAAAAATGACAAAGAAATTAACCGCCATGCAATTAATATTTAGTGGAGTCCAGGGATCTTGCTCAATAAGACGACTTCGATGAGCTGACGATTGTTCTCGACGCTTCTTCTGTCGTTCTGTTTCGGGTCGTTTGAACCGGACGCGAATTGGTGATGGATTTTTAGAACTTCCCTCCTCTCCCGAATCAGACATGTCATCTGAAACCCTTCTTTTTAAATCACATTTCTAGATTAATTACATGTTTATTTAGAGGCGAAATGTATAACTTGTTAACGATATAAAGTAGCGTGATAGAAAATGTGTAATAGAAAAATTGACATGTGTAATAGAAAAATTGACATGAGACATAATTTCGTGAAATAAGGCAGGAAATTTTATTACAAATTAAAGAACGAAAAATAAAAATTTCTTGCCTTCAGAAGTTCTAACTATGCTGTTTTTTCCTTGACCATTCAGATAGGCTATCGAACGTTTCATATCAAAACTACCAGTTAAAGGACATACATACAAACATTCTGCAAAAAATGCTTTCAATCTATAATAGTTTTGAAGGTTTATCTCATACCAAAATGATCAAAATGACCTAGAAGAAGCATTTCACAACAAATAGTCATTTAATAAAAGATGTTGGGAATGTATATAAATTTTCAGGTCAATAATTATATTTAAGTAAAATTTATAGAACTAACGATTTTTAAAAAAGCCAACAGCATAATGAACTGGTGCATCATTTCCAAAACTACGTCCAACATATACTTCTTCATCCATTAATCGACTAGAATATTAAGTAGAAGTGATAAGAAACCTAGTCAAAATAACAATTAATTTGTAAAATCCATAATTGCAAAAATTTGAAATTTAAGAAGATAGAAAGTACAATAAACTATTTCCGGGACGTTAAGCTGCATAATGATGCTATATAAAACTTAAAGAAAGAATTATGAAGTGTGCCAGTTAAATTAGAAAAAGAAATAAGTAAAAAAGGAAAAAAAAAGGGATACAAAAAGAAATACAAAGTAAAAAAAAAAAGAAATACAAAAAGAAATACTCGAAGTGATTGATTCCCTAGAAATGTTTTTCTTCGGTCAAAACTGAAAGACCGGGCAAGTCGTTACAAAAAAAAGAAACCGACAAGCTAAGCTTCAAGGAGTGAATTAAAATTTCCCTAAAATGCTACATACAAATTGTTAGTCGCAGATGGTCCTGAACTTGTTCCTGAAATCAATGCAAGATGTTCCGCACGACCTTTATCGAAAGAGCTCGACAACTTATCCACTGGCAATCTCATTTCTATCTGTAAACGATATGTAAGAAAATTATAAACCAAACTTCAACTCAACATTTATTGAGGAAGCATCACAAACTGTTGATATTTCTTAAAAATTATAGCTAACCAAATTAACCAGTATTCTTGATATAATTCTGAAACAGGCAAGTTTTGACATAAAGGCGTGTAAAAATATTACCATTTTAACATTCCTTTTGTAACGTGCTTTGACAATACCGCACCCAAATGGATTTACTTTGCGTATTGGGTATTGAATACGATACAATTCGCTATTGCTAGGATTTCGAGAAAGTATTACATCTATCTGTAACAGGAACAAAATTGTAAGCAAGTTTCAATGACATAAAACAATATTGGGAAATGTCATAAAATCAACACCAATTCAAATAGGATTCGGTGTATGGAACAGCGGCCATTTCATTACTAGTGTCGTTAGAAATAATTTATTCATGGTATTTCGAAATTTATATATGCATTTGGCTGCTATGAATTATATATGAACTGACTACGCCTTTAAAAAGTTAAAGGTAGTTGAAATACAAAATAAATCAAGTCGCATTATTACATATATTAAGTAGGCTAAAATTGGCCTAAAAATTAGTAGCAAAAGTAAAGAAGGAACTTAAAGCCCTATATGCCTATCCTATGCTCTCTAATCCATAATAACATTATTATCACATGGAAGAATAGATTGCAAATGAATTTATGAAGCATTTCTGGCATAACACCATCATTCATTCATCACTATGATCCATTCAATTCTTCGTTTTATTTTTATGCTAACAAGATGTAATGCCGCAATAAATGCAAAATAATATGAGAAATTAATCTTTGGGGTAAATAATACGAAATTCATCACAACATGAGAAGCTTTACCTAAGATTTGAACAAGCCAGATAAGCTTAACATGGAATGTTATTGTTTACTAAATGAATAGCTAGCTTCTAGTTATATGATTAGTTATATGACATTATTGATTTGGATGACATTACTAATCTGCCTAAAAAAAACCTAGTAAAAAGCGAAAGATCGGAAAGAAAAGGAAAAAAACTAACTTCTCCAACAATATCATCATTATCATCGTCTCCAATCTTGTATATATCTTCACTTAACTCGTCTTTCATGACCTGAAATATACCACAATTCAGGCTAGGCTGTTGCTCAGGTACCACATGTTAGGCTCCACCAATATGAAAACCATTTACAAATATCCATTTCTTGAATAATTTTACAATTTAACTGTTATATTTTCAAACAGAAATGATAAGCTACTTTTAGAAAATTGAGGCAATGAGAGAGTAGCGAGATAACACTGCTGCTAGGGAAAAAGAGTAAAAAATAGTTCTTTGATTTCTCGGAACAGCAAGGATTGCTGTTGAAGTTTGATTACATCTTACGATGAAATGGGGAAGTGTTAATAATTGAGAGAGTAGAGGGATGGAGAGGGTGAGGAAAGCGAGTTAGTGTGGGAATCGAGGAGAGCACAGAGATTGATAGTAAGACAGTGAAAGCATAGAAATGCCTGTTTTTCATAGTTCAATTATCAGTTAAACGTTTGGCTTTTGGCTGATTAAAATCTAAGGGATTTGGTTGTTTCTTGAAGTTAGGAATATTAGCAAATGGAATCATCCATCTGATGGAAGGATGCAAACTCGGTTATTTGCTGAAATTTTGAAATTAAAGTGCGATCATTAATCAGCTATTAATGTATTTTCCGATCATTTTATTAGGATGATATGATTCAGATTCTGTTTATTACTTGCCGGAATCTAGAAGAACTGATCAATTGAATGCTTTTTGTTAAAATTTAGAATAAAATCTCAGTAAATGCAACTGAGGAAACATATGATACTGAACTTCATTTTAAATTTCTTGATGTGAATCTTTTGAATATTCCCTTAAACATTTATTTACTCGTTTAAATTTATGATTATCTTTTATGAGTTAACAAGAAATACCTTGACATACTCTGACACACTTTTATATTTTCATATTTTGTTATTAACATTGACATTTCTCCATTATCACAATATCAAGTCGAAAATAAAAGTTTTTTCTTTCATTTATTTTTGAAATAATTGCAACAATTTGCGTGACATTTCCGGAGTACTTAAAAGCTTTAAAAATTTCAAAAAGTTTAAAAATATTCTTTCTTAAGTCTTAAAATTTACATAAAAAGTTTTAAAACTTTGAAAGTTTGAAGATATAAAAAGATGGGTTGAACGAAGAATGCGCTAGTATTAGTGGTGTTGCGTAAGCAATTGAAAGAGAATTAAATAGTTCTTAGGAAATGAGATCGCAATATTTTTGGATAACATTTATTATCATGTTACCTTTGTTCGAAACGAAGTTGTCAAATGTCTCAATTCATGTCAGAGTTGTACGCTGCTATTATGAGTATTTGATAAGATGATATATGCTTCTATACGATATATAGATGATATATACTATAAGATTATAGATGTTTGAATGGAAGATACTATTTATTCATTAATATTGTAATAGGTTTACTGATATGATAATAACTTCACTGACACCATAAAAATAATATATGTTTACTGATATGATAATTAACATATAATGTGTAAATGTTAGATAAACTGAAATAAAAACTAATCGCTTTAGAAAAATTGTATAGTGTATGCAAGGAATCATACTATCTGTACAACATTAAAAGCCTGTAGAAATGAAAAGGTTAGAATATGATGATGGTGGTTATTGTTGCATTATTTCATAAATATTTTAAAAAACTGAGCTAAATTTTTAAACATTTCTAATAAAATTGCGGGAAAAAAAAACAATGGAATCGTTCATTTGCGATCGTAGTTTATTGTATCATTCAAAATTATTACTTTTATCATTTTAGAAGTTTCAGGTTATTCAAAAAGATAATTTTTCTTAACTTCAGCAATCATCATCATAAGCTGAAATTTTTGTAGAATTCTATTAAGTAATATATACTTTACACTACTTCTAATTAGGAAAATACAAAAAATTAATATATCAATTCTTGCTAGATTCATTTTTTCTAATAAACAGTATTGGTATTGTAACGCAAAGCATTACAAATTATAAAAATTTCAATTAATGTAGTCTAAAAATTTTTTTTAAATGCAATATATTCCAAATTTTTACAATTAATAAAAATTTTCATTAACAATTTTATAAATTTATAATATATGCTGTAATATATTACCAAATGCAAATTTCTAAACAATCATTGATAAGTTATTTTCGCAAATTTTTTAATTATTTTGTTAAATTTCCTTTTTTCTAACAAAGTTATTTCTTTTTTTCTCAATATTTCATTTAATTTTTAGTGTGCATCAAATAATTGTGAAAGTATCTCAGCAATTCATTTCCACAATAATGCTGTAATCCTCAATAAATTACTTCGTCATAAACCACACATTAAACAGCGACTCAACCCATTATTGTATGATCCGTTGAAAACATCAATTTTTACAGTTAATAACAAATCTTAATCAATATTTTAACAATTTTATGCAAAAATTTCTGTTTTTTAAAAAAAGAGAGAGAAGCAGAGACAGAGAGGGAGAGAAGGAGAAAGATAATAAGTTTTATTTATCAGTTAAATCACATCAATTTATAAAATATATGCATATATAAATGAAATTCATTCAATAATTTACAGCAAGAAGAATCAGGTGCATACTGTGGTGAACAAAATAAATTACTAAAAAATGTAAAAATTAAAGTATTGGAACCAGAAGAAATATTTCAACAATTATTACGAAAAGCATCCTTTCAACAACAACGATATTTATATGCTCAAGATGATTGCTTAAATAAATGTAATATATTGGGAATTAATTTGGATTGTGAATTGGTACCAGATGATAATATGGAAATGATTAAAGCAGCTGCATTCAAACATTTACAGCATATGATATTCTTTCAATGTGGCCAGTAAGAACATTTATTTATTATTTAATCTTAAAAAAAAAGGAGGAAGAACTTTAATACTGAAATATTTAATTTAAAAATATTTAATTTAATTTAAAAATATTTAACAATATTTAATTTAAAAAAAAATTTGATTGTTTTGCATAAATTTTCTTTTTCTTCATAAAATAATAAATGTTGTAGGCTTTATTAAATTTCGAAATTTGTGATGAATACTTTATAATGATTTTGATCACTTTAAAAAAAAATTTATGGTGATTTTCTAAATGAAAAAAAAATAGATTTCCGATGTTACTGATAATTATGGTGATTGTGATAGTAATACTTACAATTGTTACAATATTGGAATTAGCCATTGGTATATCAAGGATTCGTACGGCTAAGAAACGAAGTAAAGCGAAAGATAAAGCTAAAATGACCATAGGAGGTTAGTTAATCTATGCTAATTTCTTTTGTTTCCTTTCTTGTTGTGAAATTTTAAATTTTCTATCTAAAATTCAATTATACTTTAAATTACAAAGGATAGCAAAATGGAAGTCAGTTTAAAATTTATGAATACAGTTAATTTCATCTCATCAAGATAGACTAAAATAATGATTATGAACGAGTCAAATATTGATTTTTCGCAAAATTTTAAACTTTTTAGAATTATCTATGAGTACAACAAAGTCCCGAATTGGAAGTAAATCTATTAGCAATGAGAGTACAAATTTCAGTATTATATAAATGCAGCGGTAAATTTCAATAAATATAAGTATTGTAAATTAATTATTTTAATAGCTAGAATTTGTTTTGAGATATTCCAAAATCAATTAAATATAATTCAAAATATCCAGGTGCGAAACTGCATCTTATTTTTTTTGGATTTTTGTGTGATTATGAATTTTTACTTCAGAATTTACGGCTTAAATCTAACAATTTGTTAGTTGTATTCGATTTTTTACAGTTTTTAATTGCTTTATTGTGATTTAATGCTGGCATAAAGATTAATCATTACTAAATTACAAGTTACTGCATTCAACTCTTTGAACCATTAAAAAGTATTATTAATAAAACATTTTATGAAAAAGTTATTTATTAGTAACCTTTTTTTCTTTTCACATTAGGTATCGGAGAAAGAGTAAAAAAATATGTGAGATATGATTTGAAGCTTAAACATATCATTTCCTTTGCCATTTGAATATGGCTTTAGCAGAACCAAACAATCTGGCAACTATGTTTACATCAATACTTTTTTGGATTAAATATCTGGCATAAAATTAACTGTAATAAAAGTTAAAAAGAATTAAAAATTACTTGCTATCTTGCACAACAATATTTTTTATATATTTATATGTTTTTTTATATGGTTCACTTCATCATCCCACATTTTTTAATCTTATTAAAAACATTTAATTCTATCTTTGATAACTTTTAATTATTATATATATATATATTTTTTTTGAAAATTATATTAGAGCTTTCCGAACTAATAGTTAACTCCAGTGATTTAAAAAATATGAAATATATGGCAAAAATTAAACAAAATTCCAAAAAATGATGATTAGCTTTAATTTGTGCATCAAAAATTTTAAATCAAAATTGCAACTTTCATATAAATTTGAATTCGCTTTTCTTTTCTCTCTTATGCAAAAGTATGTAAAAAAAATTTAAAGACTAGTTCAAAATTTTATTAAATTGACAAACAATTATTCATTCGGCATATCTTGTACGTGTATGTAATATCGTGTACGGTTGTTTCATTATACGGTTGCTTTTTCGTTCTTAAAAAGTAATGCAATTAAAAGTTAGAAATCATGATAAGAAATTATGATAAAATTTTTTTTTTTCAAATCACTATTAAGTTTCTGTGAAAAATATTCTGCGTTTATTTTATATCTTTTCATTTCATACTTAATTTCTTTCAAAAGAAACTCTCTAATAAATTCCAACACAGTTGCTGTAGGATAGTATTCATTTATTATATTTTCATTAAAAAAAAAAAAAAAGAGAGAAGAATCAAAAATTGAGAAATGCATCGACAAAGTCAATATCGATTAACGTGGAATCCAGATAGATTCCACTTACTTGCACATCAAGCTAAGGTATTGTCTTTTTTTCTTTTTCAATTAATTATTCATGTAAATTTATTATTGATAATTGAAAAATAATTGCTTTATTTTTATGTGAATAACAAAAGCTTTCAAAGTTTATTTAGATGAAATTTTATTTTAAGCTGTCGCATTATTTGGATTATATTCAATCTTCGAATGAGAAACCAAAAACGGATATTTCCATTAAAGTACTTTTTTAAAAAATATTTGATATATTTGGAATTTAATTATTTTTTGAAATTAATCATTAATACTTTTATTATATTAATCGCTTATGATTGATGAATATAACTTAGATTAAATTTATTATCAAATATTTGATTGTAGATCTATGCTTAAATTCAATGAAATAGAAATAAAGGAATATCTTATCATAAACTGAAAAAATCTCTGGTGATTCTGATAGACGCATTGAAATTAAAGAGTTGATTAATCATAAATTTCATAAAGTACAATTTCCAGAATTATGGTAGTAAATATATAATTAAACTTTGTTTGTTTATTTTTTCAGCTTAGTGATAACAGTACAATAAAGGTTCATTCGGAAATAGCAACAGCTCATTCCGGATATTTTCGTCGACAATATTTAGAGGAAATGAAAGCACAAAAGAAACCTGTGACATTGTTCATCGATCACCTTACCAATTACGATGCCAATGCTATTCGTCGCATGATTAATTTCTTCTACAGTGGTATCCTACCATGTTCATTGGCTGAAATTCCTGAACTTCTAGCCTTGTGCTGTAAACTTCAGGTCCGTTTTATCAAAAAAAAAAAAAGTTTTATTGGAGTAAGAAATTAAATGTTTTGTTTTGAAATTAAAATCTGTTGTAATTGCATAAATATGAAAAATACTAAATGCTCATTTTAATAGGTACCATCAATGAGAGCAATAATTGAAAAATTTATCATTCAAAAAGCAGCTGATCATAACTGTTTATTGGATTGTTGGAATATAAGTTGTCATCGACAATTTGACTTATCACTTCGAACAAAAGATTTTGTGCTCAGTTATGTGATGCGTTCTTTGGAAGAAGTATGCCAAATCCAAAAGTTATATTTATATTTTGAAAGAATTATTGATTATTTCACATGAAAATGTTACTTATTAGTCCCATCTCTCTGCCTCCTTTTTCATTTGAGGCAGTTTTGGATCTACGATTTGCGCAACTGGATCAAGCAGCTGTGGAAGAGTTACTGAAACGTGACAATTTACCGGTCCGTTCGGAATGTGACGTTCTACGTATCGCTTTGATGTATTATTTTCGTCGTGAAGGACATGTGAATATGCAAAGTTTGCTGAATGTTATTCGATACAATTGTGGTAATGAAACACTCATGCGGGTATGTAATAAAATAATAAGGAATATTTTAAATTATTAATACTTACTGATAAAATTATTTACATCACTAATTTAGTAAACGATCGGAAAAAAGTTTTCGAAATACTGTCATCTTATATAGAAATAATTTAAATTTTTTGAAAAACTTTGGAGCTTTTCATAAATTACAAAAAATTCTAATTTCAGATGCATCAAGATATTCAATGTATAGATAATGAGGAGTTGCGCTTTTGTTTTGAACAAAATTGCGCTTATGGATTGTGGCAAAGTGAACGTCATCTATACGATCAGAATATATGGCCTATAACAGATGCGCCATCGCCACGCAGAAATCCAAATGTTGACTGCAAGTGGATTAATGCGCAATTTTACACTTTGGTACGGGTTTATTTCTTGATCAATTGTTTTTATTGACTGGATTTTTAGGATTTCGTTCTTAAACTTTTGAACTTTACTGATTTTTAGCTCCAGCCTGCTACTGCATCTTCTCGATAGATTGGGATTTAATTCATGCGGCGTCTCTCATTTTAATTCATGCGATTTAATTCATGTCGCGTCATTCATCAATTAAATATTTGTGTATTTCAGTATTAAATAAAATTCGTGGCATTATTACAGTGTTACTTTATGCAAATTATAAAGCAATCAGTGTTAAATGAATTGTGAATTATAGAAAGAAGGAGAAATGATAATCTAAAGATGAAATGATAATCGTTTAAGTTAATAGGTTACAGGCCAATACGTGGTGTTGTAGTCACAATACTTCGGCAGGATAATCAATTTTGATAACCCAAGAATTCCGAAAGAACTGGTGACAGCTTAAGATTTCAGCAATTAATTTATTGAAAGAGATAATCGTAGAAAATTGAAAGAAGTTTATTTGAAAAGTTTCCAGGCATTAACAAAATTAATGCAGGAAGGGTAAACAGAAAAGCAAGAAAATTCTTCGCAATAACTATCTCAATGATGATTTTCAAGTTTATCGAAAAGCAGCACACAATAACGGCTTGAAATGAGGAGAAAAAGTACAAAACAAAATTTAAAATTCCTGAAAAACAATGAATATCTTAGATATGTTTAAATGAGGACACTACATGCGACAATGAAAACATAACGATATTTGCGCAAAATCTGCAATCAAAAAAAAAAATGAAATTTTGTATCGAATCTTACTGCATTCGCTTCATCAACGTACAGCGTCAACCTAAATTTTATCTATTTCAAGACAACATTTCCCATTTTTTTTTCTTTATATATATATATAATTGTTCATACATTCTTCAAGTTTCATTCCAGTCAACACTTCCATTTTAAAATGAAACAGTACTTCAGAAAAATGACATAACTAATATAAAGTATGTTTAAAAGATATGTTACAAATAGTATATTGCAACTCCATCAAAAAACTTCCTAAATAATAGAAATTTTCAACTCTTAAAACTTTGTTGGAATTAAAAATTTTGCAACTAACAGTGCATAATGTTGTCAGGCAAATGGTATCATAAAATTGTTTCACAATTTCACAAAAGTCCGAAAAAGAAAGAAAAAAGTGGGAAAAACAACAGAATGTTGCTTCTTGGAGAGAAATTTAATAATGAGAAGCAAAACAAAAGCCAATTGTGACAGTGCATAGAGATCACAAAACTTTTACGAATAGCATAAGATGATCGTTGTTAGAGAATTTCACTCAATTTCCAGTGTTCACAATTCTAGATTATCTTTAGAAACTGAACTTGTCACTATTTGCTTCTTCTATTTTAATTCAGATTACTGTCATTTTTTTTTCCTTTTTTTGATTAATTTCTTAATTCACTAATTCAACGAATTTCATAAACATAATTATTTTCTTAATAATTAATAAGTTTGATAATTGAAATTGTATTTTTGTGTTTAACTGGAACTAAATATGAAATGATTAGGAACGATTTTATTAATCCACTAACTTTTAAAATTTTTATCATCTATTCTTATATGAAGAAATTACTAATTTGGACAATTCACGGATTTAACTTTGAGGTAACAGCAAGTCAACAAGTGGTAATGGTAGAATTAGCCAAATGAATTATAAAAATCTTAGGCTTTCAATGGTCTTTTTGTAATTGAGAACTGAAATGATGAGAAACAAAAGTAAGTACTTTATTTAGATTTTTTTCTTTGCTTCTGTGAATAATAACGCAACTCAATTTTTGAAAAACTGTTACATGAGTATTGTAGTTTACTGCATAATTATTAATCAGACCAAAAGAAGATTGCTTCTAAATGAGTATCAAATATTTATCATCTTTGCTGC